TAGAAGAAACTAATAGAAAAAAAAAAAAAAAAAAAAATTCAAAGGCGTGTACAACCTTTTGCACTTCCTTTTCCTTTTTGACATATGTGAAACAAGCAATTATGAGTTTTTTTGATAATGTGGTCTCTAAAGTACGGTATAAACAATATTAATAAAGGAAAAACATGAATTAAAATATAATTTATTATTATATTCAATATTATATAACAAACATGTCTTTAACGATATGCAGGGGATTTTCTTATTCACGGGATCAGAAATAATCCTACAAGGATAAACAAAGTGGGAAAAATCATAATTAACTAGTCCACCAACAAAATTCTTACAACATAGTCTTATTTATTTCTTGTGCTTTTGATGACAATAATCTATCTTGGATATAATTCAGTAATTGATGCTTCATTTATAGACAAGGCTGTCGAGGTTGATGTGGATTTGTCTGAATCATGCAATTTGGGCACGTTACGTGTTTTACTATGGAGAAAAAATGCAGGTTGACCAGGCACAGCAAGAGTGGCCGAAGAACTATTGAGTGTCAAAAGTATCGAAGCCATATTTGGTCGTTCATCAACATCTTCTTGAACACACAGTAAGCCAATTTGGATGCATCGAATTGCTTCATTCCTAGCATACGAGTTTTGCAGCGTCGGATCTATCAATTCCAAGGGTGTGTTCTCTCTCCAAAGCTTCCAAGCCTGCACAACAATAGCCAGTCCAAGTTTTTAAGGTGTAATCCTAATTACTATAGTAATAATAAACAAAAGGAAAGCAAAAAAAAAATGCAAGATTAATTCATGGTCGTTCAGTCACAGGCTCTTTCACTTGTCTCTACAGATTTTTTCTCTTATCTCGAAAACGAGATCCTTTTAAACTCCAGTCCTTCATACATATGGTAAGAACATATGCCAAGTAGCCTCTCGGGGCATAGTTCAGTGGTGCAAATGATAGAGTGAGGTGGTCTCAATTGAGCTAGCAACCGCAGTGTGAGGGTTCGATTCCTGCCTTTTATAAGGTATGAAATTTAACTCTTTGTGGACACCAGTATGACAACTCTTATACCCGGCTTGTTGAGACACATCCCACGATTTACCTCCTCCACAATGCTCTAGGGGCGGAGTGGTGGGGGGCCCTCAAAATTGGGGTTCAACCTTTTAGAATATATGCCAAGTATATCATGGACTATCCAATGTGAACGGGTGAACAGTATAATTAGACTTTATTCAATCTAGCAAATACACATATTTAGTGGGTGTTTGGTGGATATTAAAATTAGATTTTTAGTAGATTGTGATAAAAGTTCTTGAAATGTGTGGTTGAAAAACTGTAGGGCTCATGAAAGATGTAATTAATATTGATTGTTTGACTTTAACTTAAATTAAAATCTGATTTTAATCAGAAACAAACGAGGCCTTAGAATGTAATTGTAAATTGTGTTAACAAAAATGGCTTCAAGAATAATGTAGAGTTTGCACTTACGTAGCTTAAGAGATCCTCGGCACCATCTGATTGGTAGAAGCTACTATTCTTTTTGCCGCTTATGATTTCCAAAATCAGGACGCCGAAACTGAAAACATCCGATTTGACAGAAAATTGGCCATGCATTGCATACTCCGGAGACATGTAACCACTACAGGCCAAAAAATCCATAGATGTGTCTTAGATAAGAAAATATGAAAGTCTTTAATTCTAAAAAATTCCACTTATTGCTTCATTCGGAAAATTAATACTCGAGAAGCACATGAATTAAACATACGTAGAACAGAGATAGGGCCAAAACTTACTATGTCCCAACAATCCTACTTGTATTTCCTTGAGATTGATCAACACCAAATATTCTTGCCATGCCAAAATCCGA